TTCCCTACAACTAGACTTCTTTAACAAGGAGCCCTGCAGGCTAGGAGGAAGATGAATATAATGAATTTGACCACAACAATTCAACCGGGTTTTAAGAAAAAAATCCCTAATGCTTTCTTTGTGGCAGGATTGAAATTCAACTAGCAAGTTTTTAAGAAAAAACAAACAAACAAATAAAAACCCCAGCAGCAGCGACAACAACACAACACCACCACCTTTGCTTTTCAGAATATTCTTTGGATATCAGGGAGAAAATTAAAAACTCAATGTAACAAGATACTTTTCAGAAATCAGCTCTTTGTTCAGGTACGGGAACATTAAGGAAACGCAGGTGTCTTCTTTAAATTCTATCCTCACAGATAATGGTATCTACAATTCTCTTCAGCATTCATCAATATCTCATCCTAAGAAGGTATCCAGAAGAACAACTTAAAAATAAAGTAAGTTTCTCCCGCAGCAATAATCTCCCTCAGTAGAGGCAGTTCACAGTCTTTATTTCCAGGCTACTCTCCAAAAAGAGAGCAGGACATCCAAGTTTGCCGTTGTTAGCACTGCTCTGCCTTTCCTTGGAGAGAAAGGCAAGCCCAGAGAAGGACATGAAGTTCATACGAATGCAGAGAGCAAACTTATCACATCACACCATTCTCATTTCTGACATCCCCAAAAGCTAATTGGACTGATGGCAGTGTCAACTTATTCTAAATGGGAATGATAGGATAGGACACTTAATTCCCATCCTTCCACTTGAAAGCCAAGGCTTCATAAACAGTTCGCGTGAGTCTAGTAAACAACTTAGTATGCATATAGCTCCGCAAGCACAATCACCAAACCGTGTAAGGGAGAGGAAAAGGAAACTGAAACTGTAATGTGAGCCAACACTTTGTGCCAACTACTAGCTGCTTTTACCTATGTTTTCTCATTTGATGTCCACAGCATCATTTAGAGGTAGAAATTATCATCCCCCTTTGACAGATAAAGAAAGCTGAGGAGTTGAGGGGTTATTCGAGTTGTACGAGGTCAGCCAGCCAGCCAGCCAGCCAGCCTCAGACAATTACATATTCCTGGCTCTGGAGAGAAAATAATTTTCCTATGCCTGCAAAGAAGTCAGAACTATACTGTCGGGAACTTCCTGGGTGCAGTGGTTAAGAATCCGCCTGCCAATGCAGGGGACACGGGTTCGAGCCCTGGTCCGGGAAGATGCCACATGTCGCGGGGCAACTAAGCCTGTGAGCCACAACTACTGAAGTCTGCATGCCTAGAGCCCGTGCTCTGCAACGAGAGAAGCCACCGCAATGAGAAGGCTGTGCACCGCAATGAAGAGTAGCCCCTGCCCACTGCAACTAGAGAAAGCCCGCTCGTAGCAACGAAGACCCAACGTAGCCTAAATTAATTAATTAATCAAAAAAAAAAAAAAAAGAACTATACTGCCCTTTGTATATTCAGGTATTCTTAGATAGTTTTCACTCTTGCAAGCTGTGACCTCACTATCCATTTTTTTTCTCCCTCTGGAAAAGCCACTACGAGCTTGGATTGAAAAGACACAAGCAGGGCTTCCCTGGTGGCGCAGTGGTTAAGAATCCACCTGCCAATGTAGGGGACACGGGTTCGAGCCCTGGTCTGGGAAGATCCCACATGCCGCGGAGCAACTAGGCCCGTGAGCCACAACTACTGAGCCTGCGCGTCTGGAGTCTGTGCTCCGCAACGGGAGAGGCCGCGACAGTGAGAGGCCCGCGCACCACGATGAAGAGTGGCCCCCGTTCGCCGCAACTGGAGAAAGCCCTCGCACAGAAACGAAGACCCAACGAAGCCAAAAATAAATAAATTAATTAATTTTAAAAAAAAAAGTTGTATCTTCTTTAAAAAAAAAAAAAGGCACAAGCATTTCTTTTGAAGGGAAAATAAATCTCCATGTCATACTCTTTCTCAACAATCCATCCGTGCATCCATCCATCCTTCTACTCAATAATTACCAAGTACTTCCTTACGTACAAGGGACCATCATATGTGCTCCTTTTCAGAGGTGCTTTCACAAATTTCTCAAAACATTAAAACTTTATACCCTCAACATATTCAGGGGATGTTTCAGAGGTAGCTCCATGTCTGGGAATAGATCTCACATCCCTCGCTCACAGATGAGAAAAAGGGAGGGAGGGCAGAACAGAAGCATTCAATTAATTCTGCCTTTCTAGAAGGACATCAGAATGTAAACTCCTCACAGCAGGAGTTTTATATGGTTTGTTTATTACATAGCAGGGCTTGGAATAGGGCCTGGTACATAGTAGGTACTCAAAACACTCATTTTCTTGAATGAATGAATGAATAGGCAAGGAAGATGGAGGGAGAGGGGAGGAGATAGACTGAGGAAGCCTTCCCCCAATCAGGATCTAGAATTAGGAATTCACAATAATCCTCCAAAAGCTTCACATACTTCTCCCAAACCCTAGAAACTTACTTTGTTGAGGGCCCCAGCTCCTGTCAGAATTAAGTGAGAATTTTCAACCTGGATGGTTCTCTGTCCCAGTCGGACAAGGTAAGCCCCAATCCCAATGGCCCGGCATGTAACCTTAAAAAAGAATAAATTCGACATGTCACATATTTATGTTCCCTCCCTAGCTATAATAACTAAGGCACAGATATGTAAAATCCACATTAACAGAAAAAAGATACTGCTTTTTTAGGAAATCTGTTTGATTAATAACAATACAAAAACACAATTTCCTGGTTAAAGCAAAGAAGGTACAGAATTCATTCAATGATTCAAGTAACAGACAGTTAAAGGATCATACGCCCTTTACTTCTCTTACACTTTTGTTTATTTCACAGATGTTTGGCATCTACACTAGAGGTATGAACAAGGAAAACAGTAAGAGGAGAAGAAATTTCAGCTGTTAATACTCTGGTAGAATATTTAGAGAAACAAGAAGTTAAACTAAAGGCTAACATGAGGTGCTAGGTTTAGCTGGGAAATTCAATTATTTACATTAAACTGCCTTGCTACTTTCGTGCACAATTAAAATCAAATTGTAGATATACAGTTTTTAAGAAATGCTCCCATTTGGGACTAAGTAGCGGGGATGGGAGCAAAAACAAATCCTAGTCAGCTCTTCAAAAATCTCACGCTCTGGCAAGATTTACCAGGCTAATGGTGATGATCTCATCATAGGCCAACGAGGATTCTCCAGCAATCATTCCAGAACCTCGAAGGTTCTCTGCTCCAAGTCCCTCTTCCTTCCCAATAATATCGGTTATCTTGTACCTAGTGGATACAGCCATGCCAAATTATACAGGTTAAACACGTTAACAACAATCCATTAAAAGAATAACCACCATTAATAGGCTGCTAAAAGCATACTGAAAGCTTATATTTAATACCAGGGCTCTGTAATTTTTTTTCTATACTCTTCATTCATATATCTTTCCTTCTTAGCTTGGTGCCTATTTTGTCTGGAAGCAATATGGTATAGCAGAAAGAGCAAAATCAGGAACTAAGTAGACAGGTTTAAATCCCTGCTCTGACACATACAGCAGTGTGACTCTAGGGATAATAGGAACTTGTGTAAAATGGGATTTATAGTATCCACTTCTACGGGTTGACATGAAAGTTAAAGCAGCAAGGAGAGGGTTTGACACATAGATGGCACTCCGATGTTATACACCCTCTCTTACTTTCTAGGACAAGTTTCTTAAAAGCAGGGTCAATGTGTATCTCTCTCTAATAAGCAACAGCCATTAAATCAACAATTTTAGATAAATGTTACATAGGAATAAAAAAAAAAAAACCAGAGGCACAGTGAGAACACTCAGCCCAGTTTCTCAAGTCAAAAATCCTCTCTCTTTCCAAGACAAGGATGAAGGGGAAGGTCAACATAGTGCACTCTATCCCTGCTCCTTTGTAAGTATCAAGTGTATACACGAGAGTTCCTGGCATAGTCCTCTGGAGGGGCAGGGGGAATGTGTGTAGAAGTGAAATGCTGGACAAGTTGTACAGAAAGCATCCTGTGGATCCAGAGGGAGCCACCCACCTGTCTTCTCGGCAGGGGATTAGGAGTGATAGCTGATAATGGGAAATGGGAGATGGGGAATGCAACTAATAAAAGAGAGGAAAAATACAAAGTTGGAAGTAGAGATGGGCATATATTATTTATTGTTCCATGTGTACCCTTAAGGCTTGGCACTGGGCACAGTTTTAGAAATTGAAATAATAAATAAATATCCCATAGTGGCTCTTAAACTATTTATTTTTTTGCTCCCATATTTCTGTTCCCTTACTTCCAGCCTTCCATCAATTCCTTTTCTTTGCCCTTGCTGTTTGTCTGTGGCTTTGCGTTTCTGCTTCCCAGATTCCCAACAATCCCTTCTCACAATAATTCCCCAATTCTTCCTTTTGCTCTGTATCTAGACTCTAGTACAGTTACGTTACAGGTAAAGCTAATCTCCCTTAAGGGGTTAATGAGCCACATTAATTTGGTGGTGGTGGTGGGGGGGAATGTGTTCTTTTAATAAGGTCCACATGTCATATAGTCACAAATACTCATGGGCCCAGTCAGCCTTCTTTGCAAAGCAGATCTTTTCCCTCCTCAGGAGTGCATACTGCTTCACAGGTATTTGTGATTTGTTAAGTGGCATCTTCTCCCCTTGTATTATATGAAAAAGATTTAAAATTTCCCGTTTTCTGCTCTGTGATCTGAGCCTTCTACCTTTAAGAGTATCATTCTTTAAAGTAGTACCAGGGATTTCCCTGGTGGTCCAGTGGTTAAGGCGCCACGTTTCCACTGTAGGGGGCACGGGTTCAATCCCTGTTGGGGGAAATAAGATCCCCTCGTGCTCCATGGCATGGCCAAAAAAAAAAAAAAGTAGTACCAAATTTTAATGTTACTTATAATAAAAACCTTTGTGTAGTGTAATATAATTAACAAAACATGTTCATGTATATCATTTTTGATCCTCACAACAGTCCAGTGTGATAGGGAATATCATCTCCATTATCATAGGTAATGATACCCAGGATTTTTGATTGCTTACTATGTGCTGAGTTCTGTGCTAAGGGCTTTACATATATTGGATAACTTGATCTTCATCATACAGATGAGGAAACTAAAGCTCAGAGAAGAAAACTGACTTGCTTTAACAAAAGCAATATACAAAATCAATAGCTTTCTGAGATACCAGTAATACAGGGTTGAAAAACATAATGGCGGGGGTGGGGTGGGAATCCCATTCAGAGTAGCAAGAAAAATGCAAAACATATAGGGATATTTAAAAACTGGCAAAATCCCACCGTACCTATACTGTAGACCAAGACATCCTGGGATGGATGCCACAGTGAACTGTCAGGTGCACTGAAGAATATTTCAGATTTTTGAGAGAAACACTATGATATGTGATATCTGTTGGATGCCGTGTGAACTACTAGTTTTAAGTAGTTCATGGTTTAGCATGAGGTACTGCTACATTCCTTTTGACAATGTCCTATCTTTGCAAAGCTGGGTTTTCAGTTTCTGTGGGGAAAAAAAAAGTTCTGCACAAAAATCAGTGCAGAACAAAACGTGAGGGTGGCTATGTCCAAGCTGATTCCACGGTTTGCAATGTCCTATGGATGCAAATATCCCATTAGTAAGTAATTGTAATTATTTAAGAATAGAATAAAATTTTTTCAGTTATGTGTATTATACAGTTGACCCTTGAACAATGCCAGCGTTAGGGGCATCGACCCTCAGCAGTTGAAAATCCGAGTGTAACTTATAGTTGGCCCTCATATATATGGTTCCTCCATATCCATGGATGCACATCTGTAGATTCAACCAACCACAGATGGTGTAGTACTGTTGTATTTTCTGTTGAAAATGTCCACACAGAAGTGGACCCGCACAGTTCAAACCCACGTTGTTTGTGGCACAAATACTTATGAAGCTGTCTGGGTCGGCTTCCTTAATAATCAGAAATATTAGGCATATCTTTTTGCCTAAAGGTGTTATGAAAAAATTACAGAGATAGTAGAGGTGCTGTGAAAAAAGAAAGAGTGGGAATTTCTGGCATAATCTATATAAAGAAAACTATAAAACTTTAAAAAATACACTTAAATAACTGGAAAAACATACCATTTTCTTGTTGGGAAGAATTAACATTATGAAGCTCTCAGATCTTCCTAAATTGATTTATAAACCTAATGCAATTTGAATCAAAATCATTTTTGGGGAATTAGAAAAAAATATGAGCCTATCTGTAAAAAGATAAAAATAGCTAATAAAACTTGGGGAAAAATTAAGAATGTGAGGAACTCTGGCCCATTAAAGTAGTTAAAATAGTGTGGCGTTAGTCCAAGAATAGAACAAAAAACAGAATATAAAGCCTGGTAATTGAGTTAAGATTATTATAAAAGTGAGGAAAGTATGAATTATTCAATAAATGGTATTGGAGCAACTTATTAACATTCTGGAAAATACTTGCAGATAGATTATAAAAATGTTCAACTTCACTGGAGATCAAAAATACCAGTTAAAATAACAATTGCTGTTTTTATCCTATTTTATTAATTTACAGTAAACAGTGTTGGCAAGGGTGGAGAAAAAATTAAAGAGGGGAAACAAGCACTACCATATACTGCTGGTGGGAGTGCAGCTCTTGGGAGGACAATTTGAAATTATCCAAAAAAATCTTTTAAAAAATGGATATACTTTTTGACCAGTAATTTCACTTTTAGAGATTAACCCAAAGGGAATAGCCAGAGATATTCTTCAAAGTTTTCATAAAAGAATGACCAGCCCAGGGATATAGCAGTAAAAACTGGGATAGTCTGTATGTTCAAATATGATATATTCATTATAATGATTTATATGAAGCCATTAAATATCATATTCTCAAATAATACTGTAAGAATATATAAAACTTCTCCCTAAATAATATTTAGTAAAAAGAACAAATTACAAAAGCCCTTTTCTATTATGATCCCAATTATGTACGAAAAAAGGTTTTATATATATATATATATATATATATATGACAGAAAGAATATAATATACATTAATAACTGTGATCTCTTGGTAGGACTGTAGCTGATTTTTAGTTTTTCTTCATAATTGTTTATATGTTCCAACTTTTCAAAATGAATAACTATTATAAATACAGTTTAAAAACCTTAATCAATAATAAGGTCTTTCAGCTAGTAAGTGGTACAGCTGAGATACAAACCTAAGGCTTCTAGATTACTCAACAAGCAATCTTCACTGCTCTTCAAGGTCATGATCAGCAGGACAGTGAGAAAAAAATGATCATATTCTCCTTTCTTTAATCCACAGCCAAATTATTCTGATACATAATACCTACCTGGATTCTCCTTCATCCTCCACGTGTTCGCAATGGACAGAGTTGAGAGCACTGACTCTCTTATAATCTTGAGGGGTCAGATATAAATATTTGTATCCCTGTGGGAAACACAAATAGTTTTCAACTTATTATTTGCCATCACCACAGAAGACCCAGCAAGGCATGCATAATGCAGCTTGTTCCAAAGCTGGCTTTAAATCTCCAAATCGTGTCTCAGAGTTACTGTCTCATAGAATACTACCATAGACAGTTCTCTGAAAGATGGAAGTGCCTATTTCTGCAGTCACTGACTGTGTCCTTGAAACAAGATATCTTGTAGCTACAACTCCAGGTATATTCCACTCATTTCCTTTTCATCAAGGTTCAAGGGTCGTTCTCTAACCTTTAGTGACACCTCTATTAAAGATATCAACACAAAATTCAAGAATTATATGAATTACTATTCTTCATTTTCTCAAATCCATAGTACCATCAACATATAGATGGGTCAAGGATAATTGAGAGCATCACAAAACTAGGATATTCAATCTTAAAATCAGAAGTCTATGCAGTGCTAATGATCAGTAATCACTGAGCTCATACCTTTTGCTTTTCTAAATAAACAAATTCTAATCCCTATGTACATTAAAAAATTATACTAACACTTCATAACTGACTTATTTTTATACATTCATATACACACTCACATAGAAACTAGTTATTTAATATGTGTGTTCACCTTAACTGAATCAGTCACTCGAGAAAAAAAAAAAAAAAAGGAAGCAGAGAAAAACTTTTAAAATACTATGAGAAATTATGTCCACAATTTAACTGAATTTGTCCCACAGGGAGCACAACATGCCAGAGACATGAATTTGAATTTGCCACTGATTTTGCCTGACTTATGACAAGAATGCCCTGTAGCACTGAGTGTCAGTAGTATGTCTGTCAGCACATATTTACGGAGTGCCTATTATGTGCAAGATACTGTTTAAGACACAGAAGAAACAGAAAGGAACAAAACAGGCAAAAATTCCTGGCCTTGTACAACTCATCTTCTAGTAGGAGAGTCAGAAAATACACAAAATAAATAAGTTAAGCATACAGTGTTAATGGGAATAATGTTTAAGGAAAAAATAAAATAGAGGAAGGAGACAGGAGAGTTGGCAGAGTTGAACTTTTAGAAGAATAGCCAGGGAAGGCTTTATTGAAAATGTCATTTGAGCCAAGACCTGAAGAGCTGAGGAAATGAGACATGAGGATATTTGGGGGAAAAGCATTCAGGCAGAAGGAACCACAAGTGTGAAGCTGCTGAGTGTGTCCAGCAGGCTCAAGAAACAGTGAAAAGGCTGGTAGAGCCACAGTGTGGAATCAGGTGGGAGCAGCAAGAGAACAAGGACGGAGTGGTACTGGAAGGCCAATCTAGGGAGGGCCTTGCAGGTAACTATATGGTTTCTGGCCCTCACTTGAGTGGGCTGGGAAGCCTTTAAAGGGTTTTAATCAGAGGAAAGTTTTGAGTTGTGATCTGATTTACCTTTAACTGGATCATTCTACTTTCTGTTGAGAGTAGACTTTGGGTAGGGGTAGGGGCAAGGCCAGCAGCAGGAATGTCAATTAGGAAACGATGCAATAAATGCAGTAAGAGGTGGCAGGGACTTGGACTACTGTGTAGCACTGGAAGTGCTCAGAGATGGTTGGATTCTGGATATATTTTGAAGGTCAGGATGTACACATGAGTTATTGACAGAGAGGAAGTGGGATATGAGAAAGAGAGGTCAAGGATAACTCCAAGGTCTTTTACTTAAATGAGGAATAGAGGTATCATTTATTGAGACAGAGAATATTGTGGGAAGAACAGATTTAAGGAAGAAGATTAGAAGCTACGTTTAGGCAGATGTGCAGGTACAGATGTTGAGTTTGGATACATGAATCTGAAGTTCAGGGGCAGGATATAAATTTGGAAGTTTATCAGTTTATAGATGGAATTTAAAGCTTTAAGACTGGATCACCAAGGGAAGGTGAATATAGAAAAGAGGAAAGGTCCAGGGACCAAGCCCTAAAACACCTTTTTGTTTTCCTTCTTACCTCCATACAAGCTATCCTGCCACAGCACCAGGTGAGAGGGCACTGGGCCCTGTGGGGTTGAGGCTGGGGAGTCCTAGACTTCTTGGTCCTGCCACAGCCTCTGTGGCACTGACATGTGTCTCCATTCACATTTTTTTTTTATAATTAAAAAAAATTGAGATAAAATTCACATAACATAAAACTGGCCATTTTAAAGTGTCCAGTTCAGTAGTTTTTAGTATATTCAGATGCTGTGTAACCACCACTGCTATCTAATTCCAGGATATTTCCATCACCCCCAAAAGAAATACTGTATTTATTAGAGGTCACCAACAATTCCCATATACTTTTAAAATGAATTTTACTGAAGCATAATTTACGTGCAATAAAATCCATCAGTTTTAAGTGCTGCAGTTTGATGAGTTCTGACAAATGTATACACTTGTGTGTAATCGCCACCACAATCAAAATATAGAATATTTCCATCATCCCCTGACACTCTTACATTTAAAGATGTAAAAGGCAGCAAAGGAAACTGAGAAAGAGTGGCTGGGGTGGGGTAAAAAGGAGACTGTAGGTTCCTGGAAACCAAGAGAAGAAAGTATTTCAAGGATGACGGAGTAACCAACCACATGGAATAACTGCTGAAACGTCAAATAGGTGAGATTCAGAGTTTAACAATATGGAATCAATGGCGACCTTGACAAAAGCAGCTCTGATGGAATGGTGAGGGTGCAAGGGGAACTGACATGGGTTCCAGAGGGGATGGGAGGGAGAAGAGTATCTGGGAACAGCAAGAAGAGAAACTCTTTTAAGAAGTCTTGTTGTAAAGGGAAGGAAAAACTGGGGTAGGGTTAGTGACTGGAGGGGTAAGTGTCTGTGTGCTAAAAAAAGGAGTATATTTAATAGAGAGGGGAAAAGTGATGATGTAAGAAAGAAGGCGGAGAAGTTTTGATCTACATCCTTAAGCTGGCAAGAAGGAAAAGGGTCAAGCATAGCGGGATTGGCCTTAGATGAAGCAGGGACCGTTCATCAAAGTACAGGAGAGAAGGCGGAGAATAAGAGCACAGATGCAGATATATAGGAGCTCGTGGAGGCTGTCTTCTAATTGCTTCCATTTTCTCAGTGAATTGGGAAGCAATATCATCAGCTAAGAGTGAGGATGAAGGAAGAGGGTGTTGGAGGTTTGAGGAGAGAGATGTCAAACTGTCAATCAGGAGGTTGGTAAGCTTGAATTTAAAGTAAGACCAGTCAACAGCACTGTGTATTTTTCTCCAATCAGTGTTCAGCTATGCAGGTGAGGGAAAAGGAGTAGATGGAGAGAGTTGGATTTAAGCAAGGTTTCTGTACAGACACGGAGTAAGCGGAATGAAGAGAAAAAGCAAAGAAATTGAAGGCATGGGAAAGGTAGTGATTACGATGATTAGCCTATGGTAGACTTTGGATTTAAGGCTGGATAGGAATAAAATGAGTATGTAAGGAGGGAGTGAAGAGCAGAAGAAAGGTGGCAGGATCAATAGTTGTAGGTCTTGGTGAGTGCAAAGGATTATTGGACTTGGGGTACTAAAGAGAGTGAGCTGGAAAGACAGGACGGAGAAATGGCAAAGGAAGGGATGCTTGAAGTTGACATTATGGGGAATGAGAGGCTGATCTGGGATGTAGGATAGGACCACTGGGGGAGAGGAAGTCCAGGATCCAAGAGGCTAGATGATGGGATGAATCATCTATGTATATATAGCAATCGTCAAGAATGATAACAGGACTAGTAGTACTGGAGAGAGTGACAATGTGCCAGCAACTAAAAGATGCAAAGAAGAGGGAGTGGCCAAAGGGTAGGGAACACTATAATAAGGAGAAGTGATGGTGCGGCACAGTCTGATGACATGAGATTCAAAGACAGGGGTTTTCAGAGAGAAGGGAGGGGAAAGGGTCTGGAAGTAGCAGTGAGGCACTAGCAAGAAGCTATTTTCCTCCAGGCTCAGTGGTACAGGGGAAAGAGAAACCAGTCACCATTTAAGAGGGCTACAGGGGAAGAAGAGTCTTCAGAGGACAGGCAGGGTTCAAGTAGAGCAAGATTAGAGAACAATCAGAGAAGAAGCTGAGGATATGAGAGATTTTGCTGATGACTGACCATAAGTCTTGGAAGCCAAAGTAGAATAATTTAAAGGTATATATTTTGGGCTTCCCTGGTGGCACACTGGTTAAGAATCCACCTGTCAACGCAGGGGACATGGGTTCGAGCCCTGGTCCGGGAAGACCCCTCATGCCACGGAGCAACTAAGCCCGTGAGCCACAACTACTGAGCCCACGCGCCACAACTACAGAAGTCCGTGCGCCTAGAACCTGTGCTCTGCAACAAGCCACCACAATGAGAAGCCCACGCAGCACAACGAAGAGTAGCCCCTGCTCGCCACAACCAGAGAAAGCCCGCGCGCAGCAACAAAGACCCAATGCAGCCAAAAATAAATAAATAAATAAATGTATAAAAACAAAAAAAACCTCTACCTCTCTCTACACACGTACACACACACACACGTGTGCGCGCGCATCCATACAGTAACTTGAAGTATTATCTTTTCTTAGTCTGTACCTTGTAAGGATCCTCAGGATCTACCCAGGCTACGTGAAACATATGACGAATTTCCTCTGCCAGTCCAATTCTTGCTCCACTGTTGGCTGCTACATAGATGCGTGGGATGCCCTCTGCCCTGGCAAGCTCAGAAGCTCTGAGAAACAGCAAATCCTCCTGGGGTCCAAAGGACCCAATTCGGTATGTGATATCATTGCCAATAACAATGATATCTCGGCCTTCTGGATATTCTGGACTTTTAAGGGTCATTTTCCAAGCTACCATGCCAATCTGCAAAGGCATAAACAAACAAACAAATAAATACAAGCTTCTTACATGCAGAATTATTTTTCAGGTTACTTGAAGATATCAGACTGCACGTAGACACAACCTTCAGGTAAAGATATGCATTGCTAAAGAGCCCAGCTCCCTGCGGGAAACTAGAACAAATATTCTAGCATACTCCTCTAAGATTATGTTGAGAATAGCCGGTTTACTGTATATGTATTTCACAGTTGTCTCAATTTCTTCTTTGGGTCTGTTCAAAGAAGATGGAAAAACCAAAGTCTAAATGCACTCAGGCTATGTGTGGAAGAATACTGGGGCACTGGGAATTAAATCCGGGATGCCCTACCTTACTACCCTATCTACTAAGATATCGTTCGTGAGATTCTTTCCAAGAAATCTTTAACACACAGGAGAACAGAAAGAGGACTACCTCTCATGGACTATACAACTTTTACAACCCTGGGTCCTTTTATTGTCCTCTAATATTTGACAGGAATAATAGCAACATTCTTTACAGGCTTGCTTCAGGTATCTTCCATTTCTGCAAGAATTTGCTGTAGCTCAACATTGCATCCTTGTGACCATCTCTTGCTGATTTCTCCCAACACTAGAAAACCAAAGGATGCCAAGTAACCAACCTCTTGCGGCACTATGATATATATAAATCTCTGCTCGCTGTTCAGTAGCATCTGACCAGCCACACAAAGAAATGATACTGACTTAATAGGCAGGGGTGACATGTCTCTTCCCAAACCCTCACAGCCCTCTCCTCTTTTAATCCCCTTCTATATGAGAACTAGTCATTCCTTCTACTTGTTTGTTCGCTAGTGCCCTTTCTTTTCTACTCACTCATTCCCCAGTTCAGGGCTGCAGTTTTTCATGTCTGCCTGTCTGTTTCCCTATACCTAGATAAGTAATGCTTTCCATTCTTTTTTTTTTTTTTTCCTGTTTCTTTCTGTCTCCCCCGCTTCCCACCACCACCACTCGCCCCCAAACACAAAGCCTACCAGACGAGCATTCCTGGTCCTGCCTAATGGAGCCCAGCCACATCTGCAGCCTTGGTCCCTCATCCCTGGGCTGCTGCATATCACCTCATTGCGGAGCCAGCCATCAAGAAGGGCCATGAACAGATGTAAATAGCAGCATCCCTGGAAAGCCACATGCATCACCCAGACTCAACCGGGCCAGTGATCATAAGCTCTGAGTACACATTTCTCAATCCAATTGCACATCCACTGTAATCAGGCTGGTTGAAGCTTTCCACACAGCTATTTGTGATTCTCAGCATTAAGAAATATATATATGAAACACCTACAGATAAATATAAGCTATTTAATATATACCACTGGTCAAATACAAATCAAAATCGATATAATACGTAGAAAAAAAATCCAATCACCTTCTGAGGTAAGGCAGTATTACTCTATCTGCTCATTAAAGACAGAGAAAAGGAAGAAGAAACAGATCATCCAAAAAACAGCACAGAGAAACTCCAAATATCAGGATAATTTTGGTCATAGTTTTTAAGAAGCTGATCAGTATGATGCCCATGTGGGAAAAAATATTTTAACTGCCTTCTCACGTGGCCCTCTAATCCAACATCTCTTTTGTTTTTCAGGAAGGAGAAGCTATTTCCTCTAAATGCATTTGTAGTTAGGAAGATTGGGCTGTACACCAAATTTTATGACATATTAACTTTAGCCACCTAGGCCAGAGTAGCTTAGATACAAGCCCAGAAGAATCTACCTTAGCATTTGCATGCGAATGCAAACACTGTGTCTATGTGGCACTGGGCAAGCAAATAACACTCTTATCTTTTGCTATTACCTGGGGACTCTTTAACTGTGTCACTTGGGCAGTCAGTTCAGCAATTGGCCAGGTCATTACGCTGGCAATATTGACTTGTAATTATTAGTAGTGCTTTTTAAAAAATTAATTAATGAATTTATTTTTGTCTGCGTTCAGTCTTCGTTGCTGTGCGCAGGCTTTCTCTAGTTGCAGCGAGCAGGGGCTACTCTTGTGGTAAGCGGGCTTCTCATTGCGGTGGCTTCTCTTGTTGTGGAGCACGGGCTCTAGGCGCATGGGCTTCAGTAGTTGTGGCTCGCGGGCTCTAGAGTGCAGACTCAGTAGTTGTGGTGCATGGGCTTAGTTGCTCCGCGGCATGTGGGATCTTCCCGGACCAGGGCTCGAACCCATGTCCCTGCATTGGCAGGCGGATCCTTAACCACTGTGTCACCAGGGAAGTCCCTTGACTTCTAATTAGGTGTCAACACAGCAGCACCAAGAACACACTACTCTTAATGTCTTTCTGAAATGTGTCCCTTATCAATTGTCCGCCTCCCCACTTAAAAAGTACCAGTACAGAATGGAGAGTGTTGTGTGAGTCTTGGTACAGTGAGATTCCTCATTGGAAGAGATTAAGTTTTGAATAAGCACAATGGATAAATCTCTAAGGAAGAATCTGTTGCTCAATTTATATTAAAAATTAGATTTTACTGCTAATCAAATGACGGGATACATAATGGTGAACATGGGCTTGGGAGTCAAACAAACTTGGATCCACATCTAAGCCCTACCACTTATTAACTGTGTGACCTTGGGAAATTCACTTAACTTTATCGCGCTTCAATGTCCCCACATACAAAATTAAGAAAATATTACCTATGGGATTGATGAAAAACTATTAGAAGCAGTAATCTATTATATTAACTTTAACATACAAAGTTTGCCTTTGTCTCTCCTCTCAACCTATCCAAATCTCACCCGTTCCATAAAGGTTCATGCAAATTCCATTTCCTCAGAAAAGCTTCCCCTAGTCTAAAGTGACTCCTTTCTTCTGATGGCCTACTAAGACCTTCATGTAGAGAATTCACTTGATAATTAATCACATATGGCCTAGGAGAGCTTTTGGCTTGCCAGCTTGAACCATCATATCATCTATTCCAGTGCATAGCAGGACTCCCACACATTTATACACATAATATGGGAGCAATAAATACTTGCTGGTTCCACAGTCATTTCATTTTTTAAATGATACTTGGAAAATAGTCAACACCAAGAGCTTAGAACATCGTGCATGACTTATCTCTAGGGATCACAGAATAACAGTACTAAATATCATTAAAATATTTTATTAAAAAAAAATAATATGAATAATAGCTACCATTAATTGCACACTTATAACATGCTGTACTATACTATAAATGTTAATAAATACTGATGATAGTTAGGAGATTAAGCTGGAAAATCTGCCTGTCTTGATTCAAATTTCAGCTTTATATGAGCTGTATAGCCTTGGACAAGTCACTTAACCTTAACCTTAACCTCAATTTTTCCAATTATACAATGGGGATAACAATATCTTTCTGGAGGGACTGTTGAGAGGAACACCACATTAAATTAGTACAGAGCCTGGCATATAAAAGTCCTCAAATAGTAGCTATTATCATGATTAATTTAAAAAAACAGCTGTTAGGGCTTCCCTGGTGGCACAGTGGTTGAGAGTCTGCCTGCTGATGCAGGGGACACGGGTTCGTGCCCCGGTCCAGGAAGATCCCACATGCCGCAGAGCGGCTAGGCCCGTGAGCGCGTCCGGAGCCTGTGCTCCGCAACGGGAGAGGCCACAACAGTGAGAGGCCCGCGTACAGAAAAAAAAAAAAAAAAAAAAAAAAAAAACAGCTGTTATTATTGCCATGAGAGAACCAAGGCACAGAGGACTTAAGTAACTTGTCCTATACCGAGGGTGAATGATTTATTCTTTAAAGTATGATTCACATAATTTCATTTACTAGAGAAATTAAGGAAGTATGTTCCAGACTACTGCCATTGCACTTAGCTGAAACGATATGGAAAGATGAACATCAATTATAACACAAACATAAATGTCGTTGACACCTAAAGGCAATGTGGTACCCTGGATTGGATCCTGGAACAGAAAAAGGTCATTAGTAGAAAAATTGGTGAAATCCAAAACAAAGTCTGTATTTTATTTAACAGTATGGTATTGTACCAATGTTAATTTCTTAGTTTTTATAATTATAACATGGTTACATAATGGATTAATGTTAGGGGAAGCTGGGTGAAGGTTAATGGAGGTTAAATGGGAACTCTGTATGATTTTTGTAACTTTTCTGTAAATCTAACATTATTTTAAGATAAAAAGCTGAAAAAATAAATGTCATGATAAAAACTTTTTTAGAGGGAATATATTAACTAGTGAGGTCATTGTTAGTGTTCTGTTCAGCCTTATAAAATGGTGGCTATGGGGCTTCCCTGGTGGCGCAGTGCTTGAGAGTCCGCCTGCTGATGCAGGAGACGCGGGTTCGTGCCCCGTTTCGGGAAGATCCCACATGCCGCGGAGCGGCTGGGCCCGTGAGCCATGGCCACTGAGCCTGCGCGTCCGGAGCCTGTGCTCCGCAAATGGGAGAGGCCACAACAGTGAGAGGCCCGCATAACGCAAGGAAAAAAAAAAAAAAAAAAAAAAAAAAAAATGGTGGCTATGAAGACTATGAACAGTATTTTAAAATACCCATGATGTAATGCTAAATTTAAAGAAGCAGGATAACAAAATTGCATGCATACCATAATAACTCTGAGAGGCAAAACGGTGTGGTGGTCAAGGGCACAGACTCAGAAACTATATTCTACAAATCTGAATCTAATGTAATCTGACTCCGACAGAATAGAGGTTCACTCAGTTTTCTAGCCACATAATGTTAGGTAAGTTACTAACCTCTATATGCCTGAGTTTCCTCATCAGTAAAATGGGGTAACAATAACCTATTGTATTAAGTCTGCTGTGAAGACTAAATACATGTTAAATCTTATAGTAAGTGTTACAATACACGCACACATGCATACACACACTATCTCTATCTAAAAGCTTGTTGGGGGCTGGGGGGAAGGGAAATAAAGAAATATAGCAAAATGGGATAATTATTTAGGATGATGGGACTGTGAAATTTTTCCCCATTTTCCAAATTTCTTTAATGTGTTTATGTCTT